CCCAGCAGCACCGCGATGGCCGCGAAGCAGAGCGCCGCCCGCTTCCCGCGGGCCTTCTCTGGGGGCGCAGGGACGGGGTGAGGGGCGCCGCCGCCAGCCCGCCCCGACACGGGGGACAGCCGGGCACCTGGGCTCTCCCCCAGATTTGGGGGCGGGGGGTTCATAGTCTGGACACATGGGGTCTCCCCCAGATCTAGGGCGGTGGGAAGCCCGGATGCCGGGAGTCGCCCCCAGATTTAGGGGCGGGGAGTTGATAGCCTACACACATGGGTTCTCCCCCAGAGTTTGGGGGCGAGCCCGGGCCCCGGGGGCTCCAGGAGGAACACCGGCCGCCCCGCCCCCCCCGGCTCCGCACCTGCCTCGTCCGCCGCCATGTTGCGCGCGGGGCGCGGGGGCGAGGCCTACTCAGACGCCGGCGACTCCGGGCCCGACCGTGCCGCGGGCAGCCAATTGACGCAGACGGGGAAGCGGGGGCTTCAGAGGGCCGGGCAGAGCGACAGCACTGTGAACCAATCAGCGCCGGGGAGGCGGGGCAGGGCCGGTACGGCATCCTGGAAGGGACATGAGGTACCCAGAACCGCTTCGCCCGCGGGCCCGTGAGATTTCAGGTGCGCCTGCGCACAGCCGGAGGCACGTGGCGGGGCCTGGACAGCACGTGGCTCCGAGGGGGGGGCGCCCCCTGCAGACCGTAAGGAGGTGCGAGCCCCCCTCCCGTACCCCCGGGCAGCAGCAGTGTGCTCCCCCTTGCAATGGGGCCGCAGTTCCTCCTCTATGGCCCTGCCCCAGGGTGGCAATGCGTCCCCCCGGCCCTGCCTCTGCCCTGGGATGCGGGTGCCCCCTCCCCGCACACCACGGGGGCAGGACCAGCCCCTGAGGGAGTCCCAGCGCCCCCACGCACGCAGGGTGCAGGCAGTGCAGCCTGTCCCACCCCACACCACACCGGGGCCACGCGTGGGCGCAAGGGCTGCGCCCGTCGGGACCTCCGAGCCCCCGTGGGAGCCTTCGGCCAGGGGGCAGGGCTGGGCCCGGTGACGCAGGAGCTGTCCTGACGCGCGTGTCCTTGATGCAACATGAAGGGCGTTTGGAGGCAGCTTGAGCCGTGATTCAGCGGCTCGGCCCAGGCGCTCCCTCCCTCCCTCTCTGCCGGGGGAGGCTGCGAGCCGGCGGCTCAGCTCAGCGCGAATATGGGGGCAGGAAAGCTGGGGCTCCCTGCCAGCCGGGTGCCGGTTGGGGGCCATGCCACAGGCCGGCCTCGCACCTGCAGCCAGGACCACCCCGTGCAGGCCCGGTGCCCCCACGGGATGGGGATGGGGATGGAGATGGGCAGGGTGGGGGCTGGGCACAGCCCTCGAGTCAACCCGGGATTGCTTCACGCAGGGCCAAACCTGCAGCAGAAACCAGCTCCGGCCAGGAAGGCTCCAAGCCCGGCTCAGAGAGCCGCCCTGGCCAGGTGCCTTCATGCTGGTCTCCTCCCCCACCGTGTACCCCCCTGGCCCCTGCATAGACACAGCAGACGGCGCCACTCTCTACAGTTTATTCGTTAGACTATTTGGTACATTGGGTGCACACGGAGAACACAACACACGCGGCAGTAAGTGGCTCCTGCGGGCCGGCTCACCCGCCACGGGGCAGGCGGCACAGGCCAGCGACAGAGCGACGGCGTCACAAGGTGCACTCTTGCTCACGGGGGGCAGCACTGCCCTCACCCCAGCCCGGGGAGGTCCCCCCTGCCCTGCTGGGCTTGCTCCCCTCCCACCACCTCAGCCGGGGGGAAGTGGAGAGGAAGCCCGGGGCAATGCCCCAGCGAGTGCAGCTGCCCCAGCCCCCCGCCCACACTAGGGCATCGGGCACAGGCAAAGCACGACAGGGGGGCTGTGCTTCCAAGCGAGGTAAGCTCCTCTTTCCTGTCCCCACGCCGCCTTCGTCGGGCATGGGCAGTTGGGCATGGAGCGGCTACGTGGCTCCTTTGGCGGCTACGGACGAAAGCTGGGAGTGGTGGTGGTGGCGGACACGGAAGGGAGCGGTGGGGAGTGGCGGGCTGGCGCCGGCCAGCTCAGTAGGCATGGTTAGCCACGTACAGGGACTGCCCCGCGGCGCCTGAGTCCTCTCCGCTGCCCTCGTACTTGCCTAGAGCTGCCAGGCCGTTCACCTAGGATGCCGGAGAGACCTGTCAGCCCACAACGGGCACAGGCCCGAGCCCCCGACAAGGAGCGCAGCCCGCCAAGCCCTGCCCGCCACGGGCACTGCTCACGTCAGCACGCAGCCCCAGCCCAACGCACCAGTCCCACTCCCACGTCACCGGCCACAGGGGCTCATAGGGCGCCAGGCCGGCCGTGGCCCAGGCAGGGAGCAGGGGGTTTCCCACCCCGATCCCAACCCCACTCCTCACCTCGGCGCGTTTAATGAACTCCTCGGTGGCCGCGTTCTCGTTGTCCCGCTGCCCACGCCAGGCACTGAGGGCCGAGGCCTGCAGCGCGCGGCCATAGGAGAAGGTCAGGGCCCACGGCCGGGCCAGGGGACAGTTGTTGATGGCATTGAGGTTGATGGACGCCTCCTCCTCGCTCTGGCCCCCAGACAGGAAGGTGACCCCTGCAAGCCAGGCCGGGTGGTGAGCCAGGCAGCTGCCCACAACAGTGCCCAGAGGACCAGGAGAGGGTCGCCTTCCCCTTCCGCCTACCCCAAGCCCAGCCCCACGCGGGCACCAACAGCAGGAGCAGCCCGCATACCTGGCACAGCGGGTGGCACAGTGCGGCGCAGCGCGGTGACAGTGGCCATGGCAATCTCCTCAGGGCTGTACTTGGTGGGGCAGGAGTGGCCCGGGGTCACCATATTGGGCTTCAGCAGCGTGCCCTCCAGGTACACGTGATGGTCGCTCAGTGCCTTGTACACAGCAGCCAGCACCTGGAACAGCAGCCACCAGGGCTCAGCCCCCGTGCCCGCAGCATCTCCCTCCTGCCCCTGGTAAGGAGGGCACAGCGCCCAGCCCCTCCAGCCATGGGAGGCCACGTGCCACCAGGCACTGGGCTCCAGGCAGCTCCGCTGCAAGCAGCCCTCCCCGAGCCTGCTCACCTTCTCAGTCACGTACTGGCAGCGCTTCAGGTCATGGTCCCCGTCAGGCAGGATCTCTGGCTCCACGATGGGCACGATGCCATTCTGCAGGGGACAGGGGGAGTAGCCGTGTGAGATGGGGCAGTCCCAGCCTGCCAGGCCCTTGCCCTGTCCAGCCAGCCTTGCTCCCGCCCCTAAACCTGCTGGCTGGGTGCCAGGTGCCACAACCCAGCGCCCGCACGCTGCTCTACGCCGCGCAGAGCCGCAGGGCCATATCCTGCCAAGCATGGAGCCAGCCTGGTGGGGGGGCCAGGGCCCATGAAGCCCAGCCACCCGCCTCCCGGGGCCCCGGGCCTCGCCTGCTGGCAGATGCTGGCGTAGCGTGCCAGGACGTTGGCGTTCTCCAGGATGGCGAGGGCGGAGGGCGTGTGCTCGCTGATCTTCAGCACGCAGCGCCACTTGGCAAAGTCCGCGCCGTCCTTCTTGTACTGGGCGCAGCGCTCCGACAGCCCGTCCAGACCTGCCACACACACCAGTGTCCTCAGCCGGCACCCGCGGGTCCCGCCGGCCCTGCTGCACCGTGCCTCTGTGCCCCCACCCCAGGAGCCCATGGCCCCCGTACCTTGAGTCGTGGTCTCCCCGTCAGTCCCGGCCAGCGGCACAACGCCTTTGTCCACCTGCGAGGCAACGGGGAAGGGCACGGGTGAAGCGCCCCAGCACCCCCCAGCCTGGAAACCCCCAAACCCAGCTGTTTCCCAGCAACGGGAACAGGTGCCACTTCCTCTCCTCCCCGTCGGGTAGCAACCAGGCGGCAGCCATGGCGACGGGAGTCTTCGCCTGGGCACGGAGTGCCCCCCCACACCCCGGGCACAAGGGGCAGGGACGCACCTTGATGCCCACGACGATGCCCTTGTCCTTGATCATCTGCACGAAGGGGGTGCCGTCGTCGCCCTTCTGGTACAGGGTCTCGTGGAAGAAGATGACGCCCCCGATGCACTTCTTCACCCGGCTGTCGGCGCTGAACAGGACCTGGCGGTACTGCCGGCGGCTCTCCTCCGTGTTCTCCACGCCGATCTGGTTGAGG